GTTTTTGAAAGCAATATCGTATGAGTTTACTTTTTCAATTGGTATCAGAGTAGGTCACTGATTGTAGGAATTAATTGTTCTTCTCATATCGGTGTACGATTCAGTCTCACACGATGGATGGATACAAGGAGATGCAAGCACTAAGGAAGCATGCAATATTTGATTCAACTAATTATGGGCATACCGAGATGAAATACAAAAAATCACTTGTCACCCATGAGCAAGAGGAAACCGAGTTGGACAGTGACGACGAAGAAGTTTCTAACTCTGTTGCATTCTTTGGAATCATTGAAGAAGGAGAAGAAACACTGGAAGATGATTCAAGTGATGATGAAGAAATAACTGATGACGACTTATACAAAGAAATGACGAAACTGGTTCGAATGAACAGATATTTGTTGGATGAGAAGAAGCGGTTGGAGAAGGAACTTAGAAATACTCAGATCCAACTGACATCTACTCAACATCAACTATCCCAAAAAGAAGAAGAAGAAGCATCGTTCATGAGATGTCAGATTGAAGAGACCAAGAAAAATCTTCATCTTCTTGGAAGTGGAACTGGTAAGTTGGATCATCTACTTGGACAGGGAAGAAGTGCACGAGATCAATCGATACTTGGATATGTGGGAAAGGAGCAATATCACCCAACATTTATGTCTGGAGGAAATCTTGAACGAGAAGTACCTGATTTGGTACGAAGTACTTTTGGCGTTGTCAGAAGTACCCAAGAGTTAAAGTGGATGTGCGAACCTCTCAGAAGCAAAAAGAGTATAGAAGTTGTTATTACTGTGGGAAGAGAGGATATATTCGAAGGAATTGCTATCACCTACGACAGAAAATGAACTCTAATTGGTACATTCATTCGAACTTGAATCACTCTTATGTGTCTCATCCTTCGAGGAATCCTAGGTGGATTCGTAAATCTAATTTTTCATGCAATGTTGCATGTGCGCCTGAGCGAACGAATAGAAACGATGTCTGGTATTTGGATAGCGAATGTTCAAGGCACATGACAGGATGTTAGAAGATGTTGACAGATTTTGAAGTAGCTTTGACAAGCGACAATGTCACATTCGGAGATGGAAAACAATGAAAGATCATCGGTAAAGGAACTTTGGAATGTGTTGGTGTACCCAAGCTGACGGATGTCAAGGTAGTTCAAGGTTTGGAGACTAACTTGATCAGTATAAGTCAACTATGCGATAATGGTATGCAAGTGAATTTTACAAAGAATACATGCTTTGTGATCAATGCGGATAACAAGTTTGTTTTAACTGAGCAAAAGACATTAAACAATTGCTACACATGGGTTGATAACCAGATTTTCAGAAACTCTTTCAAGGATTCTAAGATACAGACTTGGAATTGAGCAATCAAAAGCTCAGGTATGGTTTTGAATTTATGCTTATACACAAGGGGAGAAATGACTCGGAAGGTATGTGGTCATACACATAGGGAAAGAGAGGAGAATGATCAGAAAGATGTATAGTTAAAGATGCTGAGCAAATATGCATGGTTGAAATCGTTGAGGACGATATCGAAGAGCCAAGTGGATGAATATGTGTTCAAGTATAAGTGTGTATAAGCATAACGTCAAAAAGGGGAAGACTGTTAATGCAAGGAAAGAACACAAGAGAAGATTCAACTTCTAGAACATCTCAGACAAAAAGAGAAACATGCCAATATAAAGAAAGGGAATGAACAACCAGCAAAGGAATGACTTGCAAGAGAAAAGTAAACATGCCATTGAAGAAAGATGGAAAGAGTAAGCAAAAGGAATGAAGATAAAGAAAAGGAAAAACAAATATGATGAAATAAAATAGAAATCCTATGCAGGAGGCTGAGCATAAATATAGAGGCGTGCACAAGAGAAGATATCACCCAAGTAGAGAAAGAATGTTTGAGTCGTGAAAGCTTTGGCATAAACATATTTGTATGGGAAACATGAGTGAGTGATACTTGAGATAGAGTGAAGTGTATTTGAGGGAGAGCCTTCAAATAACAGGCGAACCGTTCAAAGGGCGTAGACGAGTCTAGAGTTACACGAGGTGTGTGAGGCATACATAGTGTATGAGCTGATAGAATTCATGTTGTAAGAGGAAAACAAATTTAGGGGGAGTTGTGTTCTTGGGATGGATTAAGCTCTAACAAAAAAGAGTTGTAATTCATTTTCTTTACAAAGAGTCGTAATTCATTTATATATATATAGGAATGTTATATCAGCATAAAGTGAGCTGTGATTCGTTTAATTCTTTTACTGTTCTTTATATAATATATAATGATTTGTGTTTTAAAATTTAGGAATGGTTTATGCCTTAAGATTAGTTTAGTGTTTAGGTTTAAAGATTAGGATTGAATCGGCTGGAGTGTAGAATTTAGGATGGGAAGTGAAAAAGAAACATTTTTTTAAAAGAATTAAATAATTGAATGATTAGTATGATATTTAAGAACAATTTTAGAATATACACACACTACATAGGACTAACTTTTAAAAATTCAGCATTTTTCTTTTAATTAATTACTTTTGACCGTGGAACTAATTTCAAAAATTACGTGGTTGTGACGTATAAAGTGTGTATATATATATAAAATAATATAAAAACAACTAAAAATGTGAAAAATTTTACATTGGAAATGAAAGGGAAAGATTTATTTATTTTATTTATAAATAAAAATATTCTCTCGATTTCATGCATATATATATATAAATATTTAACCTAAGATTAGTTCATGCAGACCAAAGATTATATTTACGTTCCCGGGTTTTGATGAAACTATATTATTTTATTTCCATAATAAATCATTTTGGCCGCCGACTAAATTGGTTTTCGTACATGCATCGTCGGGAGCAAAACTAGATCTATACAACTTTTTTTTTTTAAAAATTTAAATAGAAAATTTAGTATGAAATATCTAATGGATTTTTTATTTTACAAATATAAATTGAATATCTATGAAAATGTTTAAGGTGTTTTGGATTAAACAATACACTGGTTACTTTTTTTTAATAAATTCTAAAAATATTATACACATAAAAATGTAGACAATTTGTCTAATTAGATGTCATCTTATCTGCATAATTGGACCTTATCTATATCCTCTCTCAAATAAATAATTTGAAATATTATATCATAAAATTTAGAATTTGTCCAATGAGTTGAAGCGGCTGACAATTCTTCATAATCACGAATTTTTAATTTTCAAATGTCATTCAAAATGGAGCCATAAGCCCTATTAGACTATAAATCCGGTTTAGTCGGTTTGATTTACCAAATAGATATAACCTACACCAAATTATAAATTCTGAACCTATTTTCTTCTAATTTGTCACTAAAACTATTTTAAAAATAGTTATTCAATATCATAGTAAAGATAATTTTATTGGATAATAATTTTCTTGTGTATGAAAAAGTGCCACTACAATAAGAACGCGGGGTATACTTCTTGACACTGGCATTGTCATTGTCAATTATACAATGTACATACACGCATATATATATATACACACACATCATATTTGTCATATTATAAGAAGTGCATAAGATTCCCACCGAAAAAGTAGAGTTGGGTCACATTCTAAAGTAAGTTTTATAATTATTTTTATAATGGTGCTGCTGTCATCTTCTCACCCAACCTAGGTAGTTCAACCGGTGAAACGGGGCACAAAGTATCTGTCCCGCCCCGAATTCGAACTCCATACTGGGGAGGGAGCAAATAATTCAAAACACATGGTTGGCTCCCGATCCCGGAATTAGTCTGGGCCTCGGCTCAGGAAACCTGATTAACCAAAAAAAAAGTCCTCTCTAGTTGAACTCAGCATGCTCTGTAGAGATGGGGCAATGCAAAGATGCATCCGGTCCGCAGGTCAATTATTAAGTGCAGAATGACGGATATTGAAAAAAAAAATAGAAGATATATTGTTTGTTTTTATAACATAATACAAAATTAATATTAGTTTCATCAAATTTACACGATTTGGTTTTAAATTCTAAGAACAATCTTAGTGATATAAAAAAATTTATTCTCTGCATGTGTAAGTGAAAGAAAGCGTGTATTAAAATTTCTGAAATGCTAATTTTGTTTCCATAGTAAAAATAAATAAATAAATAAAAGAAACAAGAACTCAACAAATATAAAATGGAACAATGGATTGGTAATCTTGGGCCACGTCTCCGTTTCAAGTTATCGGCCTTGGACCTTAAACACCGGCCCACACAATAACTAAACTAATAAAAGTGAATGAAACGACGACGTATTTAGATATATTATCGACATTGTCATTTTTTTTGGTTATTATGTGAATTGGAAAGATTACTATTACCTTTAAAATATTTTAAAACAAATATACAAAAGTATATTTTTATAATAATATATATTTTTTTACTAAGTTTTGGGGTTAGTAGTTACAATCATTATTGTAGAATGTCAAATTGGATCTCAATTAATATGTCGTTTTTTTTTTGTTTCTAGTGAGACATTTAAAAACTATATCATTTCCTTATCTATAGAGAGCGCATAGTGGGGCGTGCCACCGAGATAATTGAATCCCAAGAATTATCTGCTAATAAAATCAAATGCCTTTGGAAAAAAAAAGATTTATGGTTGCTTTTATTATTATTTTTTTATAAAAACATAGAATAGGAATACACGTGCATAATTTCCAATCGAAATTTTCTTAGCAGCTAAAAACCCAAAATTTAAAAGCACAACAAAAAAATACTAATAATATTTTCTCTCGTTTTAGTAAACAAAATTAAACAATATCTATAATGTTGTATATGCGGAAATTTATTTTTATATTGTTGAGGATTTATAGAGTAAAATATTTCACGATCGTTATAGTATGTTTGGTTGGTTAGGAATTATCCGAAATATTTCTATATATATGTAACAAAAAGTATATTATAAAAGTAAATTATATAACTATATTTTCGAAATGGATTTTTTTCTAAAGTTGGTAGCGTCACGTATTAAAACAGTCGGTTGATCATAAATTGTCGCGGATTACGGTACGACGTCTTCTTCGTCCTTCTTCTTTCTGCATCTCCGTGATTTTTTGCATCGAAGCGACAAGTCAGTATGGGTTCGAGGACGAAAGGAAAGACGGTGATGGAAGTTGGCTCCGATGGCGTCGCCGTCATAACTCTCATCAATCCTCCCGTCAATTCCCTCTCTTTCGATGGTATTTTTGTGTTTCCCCCGTTTTTTTTCTCTCGATCAGATCTTGTGCGTGATTCGGATTCACCTGGGAAATTTGGTGGTTTGATCATTTGGGTGTTTGATTTTGGCCATATGATTATCTGGGTTTGTGTTTGATTTTCGTTTCTCCGCTGGGATTGGGCTTCCTATTGACGAACATGACGAAATGATTTCGTCTGATAATGTGAGATCTGGACAAGTAGTTTGATGTCTGATTCGAGTATGTAAGATTGAGACCTTGCATTTGTTTACCATTTTTCCCCAGTTCTATACAGCTTGAAAAGTAATTACGAGGAGGCCTTGAGGAGGGATGATGTCAAAGCTATTGTTGTTACGGGTATGTTCCTCTTCTGCGGTTAAACTCCTACGGCGTTTTCAGAGTATTTAGACAGATCATGGTAATGGCTTTGTGTTTCTTATGACAGGTGCAAATGGGAAGTTTTCTGGTGGATTTGACATATCGGGTTTTGGTGAAATTCAAAAGGGAAACAGTATGTTTCGATATCCTTGTATCGGGGTCAAGTGTATGCTCGTTAACGACTCATAACTGGTGATTTTGTTTATGCCAGGGCCAGAGCCAAAGGCTGGATATGTATCAATTGACATCATCACCGACTTGGTCGAAGGTGCGTGTGCCTTGTGTACTGTCATAATTGATATCATGTAGTGCTTTTGCTGAAGTGTTGCTGAGAGAAAATGATTTGTCTTTTTGCATTCAGCTGCAAGGAAACCCTCTGTTGCTGCGATCGAAGGGCTTGCCTTAGGAGGAGGGTTAGAACTGGCTATGGTATGTGTTTCGATATAATCGAGAACCACTTTCCTGACAAGCTCCTTGTGAGAGTTTTTAGTCTGAGCTTTTCATGGTAGAGGTCCATGAGCCGTTTAAAGGGCTAATAAGAAAAATGATATTTTTTCTTCAGGCTTGCCATGCAAGGATATCGGCTCCTGCTGCACAATTGGGCTTGCCTGAACTCCAGCTCGGTGTCATTCCTGGGTTCGGAGGTATTGACCTTTTAGCTTTGTCGATTTTGTAATCCTTGGAGTTTTCTCTTATCAGGATATGGCATTGATATCTGATCATAGGGTGAAAAAGTGCTTAAGATCTGTAGAACTGGGAATCAAAGTATTCTAGATGCATATTGGTCTATAGAAGGAGAGGTAGATGATCTGTTAATCGATCCTGTTGGAGCATTGTTGAATGAATCAAGTTACCATCTTTCCTGATTACTTTCCTATATGTATATTGCTGCAGGGACACAGCGTCTTCCACGTCTTGTTGGACTCACTAAAGCCCTTGAAATGATTTTGGTATGTAAGGAGCTGATTCCTATTTTAGCCTTAATCTGTCTTGGTTATAACGTAACCTCATCTTTCGTGTTGAGACAAATAGACATCTAAGCCGGTTAAAGCTGAGGAAGGTTATTCACTGGGACTTGTCGATGCTGTGGTTCCAAATGCTGAGATACTAAACACTGCTCGTCACTGGGCTCTCGACATAGTGGAGAGAAGAAAAAAATGGGTTTCTAGCATTTACAAGACCGATAAGTTACCTCCACTTGGAGAAGCAAGGGAGATATTGAAGTTTGCCAAGGGACAGGCACGGAAGCAAGCCCCCAATCTAAAGCATCCTTTAATGTGCCTCGATGCTGTTGAAGCGGGTATTGTCTCTGGTCCAAGGGCTGGTCTAGAAAAGGTATTTCCCCGTCTAATGTTTGTTTCTTGATATAATTTCACGGTTTCACCTTTCTCTTTCAGAATATTAGAAGATTAATACGAAATTCGATCATTGTCATTCCAGGAAGTTGAAGTCTCCCAACAAGTGGTAAACTTGGATACCACCAAAAGCTTAATCCATATATTCTTTTCTCAGCGAGGAACTTCTAAGGTTTTGTGAGCTTTTACCTGTCACTCCATTTGGGATAAAATACAGTTGAATTTCAGAAGACAATTTCCCCCTCTTCTCCATCCTTTCTAATCTTACTTGTGGACAGGTTCCTGGAGTTACTGATCGAGGGTTGGTGCCAAGGCCGATCAAAAAGGTTGCGATAATCGGAGGAGGATTAATGGGATCTGGAATAGCCACTGCATTGATCCTTAGTAACTATCAAGTGATTCTGAAGGAGGTTAATGAAAAGTTCCTAGAGGCTGGAATTGGCAGAGTCAGAGGTAGGGGCTGTTTTCGTTGCATAACGTTTCAGCTAAGTGCGAGAACAGTGAGCTGACTGGTTTCGGTGTTTTGATCAGCAAATCTGCAGAGTCGGGTCAAGAAAGGAAACATGTCTAAGGAAAAGTTTGAAAAAACCATGTCCCTCCTCAAGGGTGTTCTTGATTATGAAAGCTTTAGGGATATCGACCTGGTGATCGAGGTAATAAAGAACATAATCGATCAGAATTTAGCATTTTTGGCTTCGTGATCTAGAAAGCCGGTGATATAAAGCCATGCCCATGTCTTTTGCTATGCAGGCTGTTATTGAGAACATATCGTTAAAGCAACAGATTTTCGCTGATCTAGAAAAGTATTGCCCTCCACATTGTATTCTTGCTAGTAACACTTCAACCATCGATTTGAACAAAATCGGGGAGAAGACCAAGTCTCAGGATCGAATTGTTGGAGCACACTTTTTCAGGTGATGCAACATTCTCTGGACAAGAACATTTACTTTAATCTGTTTTTCTCTGTGTAGAAAAATCATGTTTTTTTTTCTATCTCCTCACCAGCCCAGCACATGTCATGCCACTACTTGAAATTGTACGAACCGATCATACCTCGGCCCAAGTAATCGTTGACCTACTTGATGTGGGAAAGAAGATAAAGAAGACACCGGTCGTGGTGGGAAACTGTACGGGTTTTGCAGTGAACAGGATGTTTTTCCCTTACACACAAGCAGCTATGCTCCTTGTTGAACGAGGAACAGATCCTTATCAAATCGACAAGGCAGTCACCAAGTTTGGAATGCCGATGGGCCCCTTCAGGTATATCGACATTTCAAGAAATCGTTTATTTGTTCATATACGCCTGATTGGATATAAAAATTGTTAATTTTTTTATATGATCAACCAGATTGGCTGATCTGGTTGGATTCGGGGTAGGCATTGCAACTGCGACACAGTTTATTGAGAACTTCCCGGAACGAACATACAAATCGATGATTATCCCGCTAATGCAAGAGGACAAGAGAGCTGGTATATGTCTGAAAACTAGGCTGGCTTGTCTCATTTGATCACATTTTCTAAATCTTGTGAAACCTCCTATCGAATTTCAGGTGAAGCAACTCGTAAAGGGTTCTATCTGTATGATGATAAGCGTAAGGCTAAACCTGATCCTGAACTAAAGAAATACATCGAGAAGGCAAGGAGCATGTCCGGAGTAAACATCGACCCCAAGGTCGGTTGCACTTTCTCCCGATTTGACAAAAAATGATACCCCCTCTCATATACTAACTCCATTGTATTTGGCTTGCAGTGTGTGAAGTTATCAGAGAGGGATATCATCGAAATGGTATTCTTCCCCGTCGTGAACGAGGCATGTAGAGTCTTTGCTGAAGGTATTGCAGTGAAGGCAGCCGATCTCGACATTGCAGCTGTGATGGGCATGGGTTTTCCTCCTTACAGGTCTCGACTCTCGACACAAAAGTCGTGATTTTTCCGCAACTCCGAGTCAAAATCTTTTACTCAAAGTCTGGGTTTTGATCTGATGTTGTGCGCAGAGGAGGAATCATGTTCTGGGCTGATTCCCTCGGATCCAAATACATTTGCTCGAGGCTGAACGAGTGGTCGAGGACGTACGGCGATTTCTTCAAGCCTTGTGATTTCATGGCTGAAAGGGCCTCTAAAGGAGCTCCATTGGTAAGAATCTCATTCTCTTCTCTCTTCCTGCTTACAGTCTATATTCACAGTTTCATCTCTATAGCTTAAAAACATCATCTTCCCCCCCCCATAAATACAGTTTCCTGGATAGAAAAGACTCTAACTTTCTGCAGCTTTCGTCGTTCCGAGCTTTCGGTGTACGCTACATGATACTATACAACTGAACAGTGAACAGATCAGATCAATGCGCGTTGTATGCATTGTTTTTAGATGGAATCTATTTGAAGGAATCTCTCAGTTTTTGCTTGATGCCTCATCAGATCCATCATCTGAACAAATCCACCATTGTTTCTTCCTTGACAGAGCGCTCCTGTGGAAAAAGCCAAATCGCGTTTGTGAGGTGAAGAGATCGAAGCCCATTCGGCCGCTCTCTTCGTTTTCGCCGTGGGGTCGCCGGAAAGTTTGGACCTTCGGCTTTGAATAACGTCGTCGGACAAGTAAGGGGATGTCTGAGAAACAATAAAGGTTTTTTTTTCTTTTCTAAGTATTAACAATAAAGATTTGTTTTAGATACGCAGCTGTTCCGTGACTTGGTTCTTTTGTTTTATTGAAATTTGTAGTGGCAATTATGACGTCATTTAGTTTAACTCACCCCCTTAGGTTAATTTGATTTTTTAAATTATAATTAAACGGTTATTCAGTTTTAATCCGTTTGATTACAAATCGGTTGGGTTATATTATGATGATAAGTAAACTGAATTTGGAGACATTATTGTAGAAAATATGAGTCTTCATTTTCATTGTATGCGTCATAATTACATAAATAAATATTATTTTCTATTATGTTAGCTTTTTTTTATATCATATGTTACTAATTGGTAATACATTGGCGGTTGGACGGTCAGTTAGTTTTATTTGGTTATAAGTATTTTGGATTTGGTTTATTCGATTTCGATTAATTCATATTTATTTATTATAAAATTCTTAAAATTTTATAATCAAAACGAGTTATTTAATTTTAATAGATTCAGTTTATAGTTTATGCCTATTATTTATACAGATCATCAAGTTATGTTTTTTCTTTTCCTATTGTTTTTCCTCCAAATATTGGATGCCATATAATATCCAATCACCTCACCTGTGTTATATATATATATATGGTAATAAAGAACATAATCGATCAGAATTTAGCATTTTTGGCTTCGTGATAGGCATACATAGTGTATGAGCTGATAGAATTCATGTTGTAAGAGGAAAACAAATTTAGGGGGAGTTGTGTTCTTGGGATGGATTAAGCTCTAACAAAAAAGAGTTGTAATTCATTTTCTTTACAAAGAGTCGTAATTCATTTATATATATATAGGAATGTTATATCAGCATAAAGTGAGCTGTGATTCGTTTAATTCTTTTACTGTTCTTTATATAATATATAATGATTTGTGTTTTAAAATTTAGGAATGGTTTATGCCTTAAGATTAGTTTAGTGTTTAGGTTTAAAGATTAGGATTGAATCGGCTGGAGTGTAGAATTTAGGATGGGAAGTGAAAAAGAAACATTTTTTTTAAAAGAATTAAATAATTGAATGATTAGTATGATATTTAAGAACAATTTTAGAATATACACATACTACATAGGACTAACTTTTAAAAATTCAGCATTTTTCTTTTAATTAATTACTTTTGACCGTGGAACTAATCGGTTAGATGCAAGCTTTGTTTTAGGGTGATATTTCCGTTCGGTTAAATAAAAAAAATGAATAATATGTAATATTTTTTATTGAATTAGATCTAAAAATTAAGTTAATTGAGGTGATTTTTTTAAAATCAAATCAAAGGAGTGAGCCAAATCAAACTTAACAAAAATTTATTTTTAGAGACGAGTATTTGTTTTTTTAAGAAAATCGAATTTAGAGAAGAATTCCAATAAAATTAAAATCCGATATAAAACATATACTGTATATTATTTTATAAAATTAAATAAATGAAAAAAATAATGGAATCCGCTGTTTATGGCTCTGATGATGTTAAATGACAACTAATGAGACAATGTGAACCAAATCAATATATAAAATTTTCAAATATAATTTTCCTTGAAGTGAATAATGTGTTTGAGGACTTTTTTTCTAAATCTGTCAAATGTGAAAGGAACTGAGATCTGTATCCTATAATAGATAAAGCAGCTAATGCTAGGCTGTCCATGCAGTTTAGCATGTAATTAGCATCCTTAATCTATCTTAAGCTTTTATACTATATGTTACATTTCTTGATTAAGTGAATTAAACCCTTTTTAATTACCTGAAAATCTTTCTTACTTAGCAAGCTAATTTAATAAATAGATGGACATTAGCTAATTGATCGACTATTAGCATTTTCATAAAAAAACGAGATATTTAACTTAACAATTAAAAAGATAAATATGTTGTTATGCGCATCAAAAAAATAATTCTTTCAAATAACGTCCCAATCAAAAGACAATTGAATTTTAGATATGTTATTATAAAGTTAAAATGATTGGACATTAAATTAGTATTTTTTTATGTTTTAGATATTTAGTTTTACAAATGGCCGAGATTAATGACATTAATTTAATGTTGTCAATACTCAATAAAAGATTAACCATTTGAAACCATTTTTTCATTTTATTTTTACACCTTTTGGATGACCCTATTTAAAGAATTTTTAATATGCACATGACAATTTATCTTGGTTAATAACTTTATAATGATAAAAAAGGTTCGTTTATATTGGATTGTATATATTTTTGAAAAAAAAAACTAAGATATAATTTTCATAATGCAAAATCTAAATCCCAAAAGAAAAAAAAAAGAAAGAGAGAGAAAGTGGTGGGGGGTCTTGGATTAGAAGAGGTGTTTGTGAGAAAGACAAGACAATGATGTGATGTCATAAGCTCAAAAATACATGAAATAGTTAATGCTGTTTTGGACCACCACTTGTGCCTTCATTGGACATTTTAGTTTCTGACTTGTCAAAAGAATATCTATTCCAATCAAATATAAATAATTGAAAAATTAGATTATCATATGTTAACATATTTGAAATTGAACTAAAATCCAATATTGAAAAAGAATTTGAGTATAATTCTTTTTATAATAAGAACTGACTTCTCTAATTAATATACATGTTTGCAAAAAACTTTAAATCATTTTTGTATTAGAGTTAACCATTTAGAGAGAATATATATATATATATATATGCAATGTTATCACATTTCTTTGATTTGGCCTATAGTGGGAAAAAAAGGGTGTGTACTTTTTTTGTTACAAGCACTAATAAATATGGATATCCATGATTTTGAATTTGCACTAACATGGAAACTATAATCTTTTACATAAATGATTATGTGTTTAATATCTATGGTCCCACACTCTAGACAAACAATTAAAATGTGAAATTGCACACCAAATTTTTTTTTTTATTACCGTGATGGTTCTCCGGACCTTCGGCCCGACTACATCTATCCCAGACCCGGGAGCAGCCGTTGTCGAATTATAGCCTTTCAACTATAATAAGCCTCCCTCCCCGCCTGTGGAGTCGAATCGGCCACGTCCCGCCCCCGCGATCTCAAAGAGACCCGGCCTCCTGGACGGCCTTGCGACTCGACCACCACAAGGTGGGTGTGCACACCAAATTTAGGTTTACATAATAATCATATACGATTCTTGTGCAGAAAAAAAAACAATTAAAATATGATACTTTAGCTTTAACATTTTTCACAATTCTTTGTGTTTCATATTACATCTCATTATATTTCACATTTAAATGCAAATAAAACTTTAAGGGTCACTACATATCATTTATCCCAACCCACCAATGTCCTTTTTTAATTTAATTTTAAAATCTCGATTTTTTTTTCATTTTTCAAAACAAAATAAATAATTTGATAGCAAAACAAAATCAGATGAATACTTGTTCGATTTTATTGCTTAATCAAGCCTCTTTGTCTAATTCAACGTTCTTGATTAAAAAAAATACTCAAGAACGTTGTTTAATTAAATAGATACTTGGATTGATTTTAGACTTTCGTACATTATATAAGATATATTTATATTTTCTTCAAAAACAATTTAAAATTTAAAATAAATAAATATACCTGAAGCACTCATTAATTTTAATATTTTTTGTGCATATATGTAAAATTGAAATGATGAATTTTCTTATAGCATCAATGATGACATGGACGACCATACATATGATGAATAATATTTTTTTTCCCCATGTCCATAAGAAAAGGTTGTATCAATAATCGACAATATCATGATTAGGAACAAGACTATTTTTTTTTCTATCCTCTTCTTTGAATTTTCTTTCTTTTTTCGTGGCCGTGAACTTAATTGCAGTATTATCTAATTTTCAATTTATCACATTCCCTAAATTTAACATGAACGTGATGTCAATTATAATCTAAGATGAATCTGTAAAAGCAATTATGGTGATTCATTAATATATGTAATTAAGATTTATTAAAAAATGCGGAAAGCCACGTGGAGGGTGAGTGTCTTGTGGACCAAAGTCTTAACACAGAGGAGAAAAGAGATGAGATAACTTTTGGAAGATTTCAAGAGCTAGAGAGAGAGAGAGAGAGAGAGAGAGAGAGAGAGAGAAGTCAGTCTTCCACGTGCACCTGGGAACTCGACCTCTCTCTTACAAACTCTGCAGACACACTCTTCTTCATTCTTCAATTCAATCTCTCTCTCTCTCTCTCGAAAGGAGAGAAAAGGAAGCTGAAAGCTGAATCCTGCATTAGATGCCGTGAATTACACACATGAGATCTCGAGAAAGAAGAAAAGAGAGGTGAAGAGAGTGAACAGAGGCTCTGTTTCGTGTTATTCTCTGTCTTTTTTTGCTGCAATGGCTGAGGTGAAGGACCAGGAAATGGGAAGCGACGGAATGCAATGCAGCAACCATCCTTACACGAAGAACCCAGGAGGGATCTGTGCGTTTTGTCTCCAAGAAAAGCTCGGAAAGTTGGTTTCTTCCCCTTTCCCTCTCCCCAGACAGCTCTCTTCCTCCTCCTCGTGTTCTCCCTCCTTCAGATCTGACAGCGTCGGCAGCAGTTCCTCCTCCTTCGCCGCAAATCTCTCTCTGTCTCTCTCAGTGGCAAAAGCTGCGAATAACACAGGAAAAGAAGGGTACTGTTACAATGGAAACAACGGGAGGGTCTCCCACAAGCTCCCCTTTCTGTTGGCGAAGAAGAAGCAAAAGAAGATGATGGCGTCTTCGTCTTCGTTGCCGGCGAATCGTACGGCTGATATCGTCTACAGGAGGAGCAAATCCACGACGACGCCGAGGACGGTGTACGGACAGGATTTCAGCCCCAGAAAACGAGGTGGGTTTTGGTCGTTTCTGCATCTGTACTCTTCTAAACCCCATACCACAGCCGCCGGCAAGAAAGTTGAAAACTTTCATCACGTTAGAGCAAGAACAACCAGCAACTGCAGCAACAAGAACAACCAGAGTGAGAATGGTCTGTCCAAACCAGACAAGGACGAGGCGAGGGCGAATCAGACCGTGACAGGGTCGTCGTCGTCGTCTTCGAAGAGGGTAGGTGGAGGAAGTGGCAACAGGAATGCTGATTCCCTCGGATCCAAATACATTTGCTCGAGGCTGAACGAGTGGTCGAGGACGTACGGCGATTTCTTCAAGCCTTGTGATTTCATGGCTGAAAGGGCCTCTAAAGGAGCTCCATTGGTAAGAATCTCATTCTCTTCTCTCTTCCTGCTTACTCCTATCACTGTACTTGCAGAAACACCAGGAAGTGGTTTTGAGAGGAAAGTGTCGAGGTCCAGATCTGTAGGGTGTGGAAGCAGAAGCTTCTCTGGTGATTTTTTCGAGAGAATCTCGAGTGGGTTTGGCGATTGTACCTTGAGAAGGGTCGAGTCGCAGAGAGAAGGAGCTAACAAAGCAAAGGTCAACAATGGTGGTGGTGGTGGTGCTGCTGCTGCAGGGATGAGAGACATGGTGAGATGTGGTGGGATATTTGGTGGGTTTATGATGATGACCTCATCGTCTTCGTCCTCCTCCTCCTCCTCATCAGCTGACCATCACCACCATCATCATCATCATCATCATCAGAACTTGGTGCATGGTGGAAGGAACAGAAGCTGGGGATGGGCATTTGCAAGCCCCATGAGAGCTTTCACCAGCACAAGCACCACCAAAGCTTCTTCTTCTTCTTCTTCTTCTTATGGTAAAGATGGGAAAAGAGGCCGTACAATTACAGAGTCCACCACAGGCAAGAACACAGCCCCAAGCTTGGATTCAATCCCTTCATTGTTGGTCGTCAGAAGCTGAGGAAAACCCCTCCCAAGTCCAGACGGTTTAGCGACGCAATAAGAGTAAATCTTTGATGTGTTTATTACTATGTGTTCTTGAGGTGATCTTTCTATTCCATTAGCATGCATTGCCATTCTCTTCTCTTGTTCGTTGACCATCATCATCATCATCATCATCATCATCATCATCATCGTCGTCGTCGCTTAGAAATCAGTCAAAGGACAAGTCAAATGATCACAGGGCACATGCCTTTGCACATGCCATGATTCTTTGGTCCCGAATACAAAAATACGGTTTCCACATTCTATAATATAATCCATCCAATGCAATGGGAAACCATAGTATTATCATGTTGTGATTACTTAAATCATAATAATACACATGATACAATCAAATGATTCATGTCCACAAAAAGCTAATAAGACATTTAAACTTGTAATGATAGCAGATTTTTTTTAATTAGCTTTTTTTTTTGCTTATGTTATACATGTTTGAATGATATAACCATTGAAATGTCAAACATGACGTATGCATGAGAGATAAGAGGATTTTGAGATGGTTGGATCTAAATTTTCGAATTGACAAGGACACGGTTGGATGTTTTTTTTTTAAAAAAAAAAAAATGATCCAAATGATACGGATTTCGAATGGTTCGATATAAGTTTTTGAAATAAATTAATTGAATTTTAATGATTATTTAAAAATGGCATTGAGCTATTTTTTTTAGGAAAAAAAAATTAATTTTCATAAAGTTGAAATCAAATTGAAAATATTTTTAATTAAAACGGAGTATATATTTTTTTAAATCTAAAAAAATTCGAACATAATCTAATAATTATTACCTGCAGTACCATCTAATAATATATATGATAAGTCACATTTTTTGTAACAGAATGTTTTTTGTTTTGGTAATGTTTAGGCATGGATCGATGTAATGAAACGTAAAGCTGATCGATACATAACATAAATCATAAATGGGAGATTTTATAACATAGTTTCATGAAATGAAATATATATTTAAGGTGCGGTTACATCAATAAAATATATTAAGGTGTGGGAGAGATGACGATGGTTGGGAGGACATAAGAGGGTCCATCTGTGATGAAAGTGTTCTGCAAAGAGACAGGCCAAAAAAAAGGCTGCATTCTGACTATACCCTTTTTATTAAAATTTTTTTAAAAAAACTTATAACATTTTATTTATCTATTTTTCCACTTTGGACACATCTTATGACTTTTCATATGTGTGTATATATATATATTATATACAATAGATTCTTTTACATGTGAATTAGATAGTTCTGTATTATTTTTGCGCACACAAAACCAATTCAGTGGATGCGGATATATCAAATTTAGGTATTCAAAAATTAAATCGTATTTAATAATATATAATTATATTTAAATTTAATTTGATTAGATATAATTTTGAAGCCAAATCAAATAAATTCAAACGGAACATAAAAAATAATAATATAAGAAACTAAAAAATGATATAAAATATTTTAAATTATTTTTTAATAGAAATTTAATCGAAACCAATACAAATTATCGAAACATAAAATTATAACAAAATAGATATAAATATTTCAAAAATAAAAAATTAACAGATTCCATAACAAATTAGAATCCCTAGATGATAATCGCTAGTAACCAATAGGGGTGTCAAAACGAGCCCGGTATAAAGAGATATGAAGAAGATTTAAGAAGATTACGTAATATTTAGATTTGGTTTTATTTTTATATTTTAGATATTTATATTTATTAAATAAAATATTTTATGATTTTGTTTTCTGCTATAAATATTGTAATGTTATATGTTGAATAATGAGAAATCCAATGATTCTCCATCTCTTTCTCTATTATGGTATCAGAGCCTGGTTTATGTTCTAAATATTTTTTTTTTATATTAACGATGTTCGTTGAATCCGAAAACGACAATGAAGATGACGATGATATACTAACTCCAATAGTATCATCAATTTGAGTATCGTCTTACATTCATTTTTTTTTTTTATTTTTTTTCCTGACGACGGTGTTTATCACTGTCAACCATAGCCGATGTGCTACTTTTTTTTTTTTATGCCGACCTCATTGTCGTGCAACCCAACTCGCGCATATGCGCCGCACATCCGTGCCACATCAGCCTTTGAATCCGGCTTTTAGCCTCTTCGATTGGAATACTCCGATCGTCGATCCGCACATATGCGCCATCTTTTTTTTTTCTTTTTTCTTTTTTCGGCTTTAGCCGCGTGCATTTGCACAATTTATTTTATATTTCCGGTATAACCGCTAAACCATCGCGCCTTTTGCGCCGCCGACATTGCTGTCGCACTATACCACAATACCGTGCATGTGCACCACGCTTCTGCTTCACCGGACTTTTTCAGATCCGCCAACAATCCACCGGTTCCTAAGTTCGATTGTCAAATCCCGTTATTTTCTGGAGAATTCAACCTCAAGCAGTTGTTTCTCATCTCCTTGAGTTTGAGGGGCCGTATAAAGAGATATGAAGAAGATTTAAGAAGATTACGTAATATTTAGATTTG